TCGTGACTTAAGCGCTCAGATTAAGGTTCTGGTTATGGAAGTTGCTGTCTTGAAAGAAGGCGAAACCACATACGACAGGGATGAACTCGAGAAGATCGCCCGCAAGGAGATCGACGACTCGTCGGCGGAACTCAACCCAACCGGCCGATTTATCAGCCGTCATCTAACGGCGTTTAAGGATCTGCATGAGCTTCAGGAGCAGAACGTCACACTTCGGCGAATGCTGAGGGAACTCGGTGATAAGATGGAGGGAGCAGAAGCTCGTGAGAAGGATGCCGTTCGCCAACAGGAGCAGGAGGAGCTGAAGGAGCTCAGAATTCGTGTGCAAACGTACCGTGATGAAATCGCTAATCTCGTTGCTCAGACCAAGAGCTACGTGAAGGAGCGGGATACCTTCCGCAGCATGCTGACAAGACGTCGTCAAACGGTTGGGGATGCTTCTGCATTCTCCCAGTCGCTTCCTCTTGGTGCGGTCCCACCGAATGTTGACGACCAAGGGAGGGATGTGCCCGACTATGCGGAGTTATTGCGCAAGGTGCAAGCCCACTTTGACAGCTTCCGGGAGGAGTCCGCCACCGACCATGCCGCTTTGAAACAGCAAGTCAATGAATTATCACGGAAGAATAGTGAATTGCTGAGCGAGATCAGTCGCTCAAGCAGCCAGCTTGGCGCTGCCACTCAGCGAGCTGAGCTGTTGCAGAGCAATTTCAACATGTTGAAGAATGAAAATGCAGAGCTGCAGAAACGCTATGCTGCTCTCCTGGAGAACGCCAACCGACAAGACTTGAGAACCCAACAGGCTGCCGAAGACTTGGTTGAGACGAAAGGTCTCGTCGAAAGCCTTCAACGTGAGAACGCAAACCTGAAGGCCGAGAAGGACCTTTGGAAGAGTATCGAGAAGAGGTTGATCGAGGACAACGAGGTTTTACGGAATGAACGCAGCAGGCTCGATTCTCTCAATGCCAATCTGCAGACCATCCTCAACGAGCGTGAGCACACTGATGCTGAGAGTCGCCGTCGTTTACAACTCAGCGTCGAATCCTTGGAGTCCGAGTTACAGTCTACGAAACGTAAGCTTAATTCCGAGGTTGAAGAATCAAAGAAGGCTGCTCTCCGCAGGGAATATGAACATGAGCAGAGCCAGAAGCGGATAGATGACCTTGTGGCAAGTTTGAGCTCGGTTCGGGAGGAACTGGTTGCCACCAAGACGACTCGGGATCATTTGCAGACCAGAGTGGATGAGTTGACGGTTGAGCTACGGAGTGCTGAAGAGCGTCTACAAGTCGTACAATCCAGGCCAAGCATCTCAACTGCCCTGGCCGAGACAGCTGCGGCGGCAGAAGAAGGCGTTCCGGATACTGGTTTGACCCGCGAACAGGAACTGGGCATTCAGGTTTCCGAACTGAAGCGTGACTTAGAACTGGCTAAGGGCGAACTCGAGCACGCTAAGGAGCAGGTCGAAGTTTACAAAACCATTAGCCAGGAGACCGAGGAGCGCTTGCAGTCAGTCACCGAGACGCAAGAACAATATAGGGAAGAGACCGAACGTCTTGTGGAGGAGAAGGAGAAGAAGATTCAGGATCTTGAAGCACGGATTGAGGAGATTTCGTCGGAACTTTCTACGACAAATAACGAGCTCTCTAGACTTCGGGATGAACAAGGTGAAGCTGGACGCCGCTTGGAGGAACAGAAGGCTGCCTTAGAGGCCGAAATTACAAGACTGAAGGAAGAAAACGAACGTCAAATTGCGGCAGCTCAATTCCACCAGGACGATCTCAAGGCCCAGGCAGAAATTGCCCAGCGCGCGCAGCAAAATTACGAAAGTGAATTGCTTAAGCATGCCGAGGCCGCAAAGAACCTACAAGTCGTTCGTGCAGAGGCCAATCAATTGAAGCTGGAGCTGGTCGAATCTCGAACTCAGGCCGATACCTACAAGAAGGACCTCGCTCAGAAAGAAGAAAGCTGGAGTGAGCTCAAAGAACGATACGAAAATGAGCTTGCAGAATTACAGAAGCGTCGTGAAGAAGTTTTGCATCAAAACAACTTGCTGCATACCCAGCTTGAAGGCATCTCAAGTCAGATCGCCGCGCTGCAGAAGGATCGCGCCAACATTCCGGACAGCGAGCAGGACGAAGGAACAACAGCACCGAATCTGGAGGGTCTTCAGGAGGTCATCAAATTCTTGCGACGGGAGAAGGAGATTGTTGATGTGCAATACCACCTCTCCACACAGGAGGCCAAGCGTCTCCGCCAGCAGCTCGATTACACACAGTCTCAGCTGGATGAGGCTCGTCTCAAGCTGGAGCAGCAACGCCGTGCAGCCGCGGATAGTGAACACACTGCTTTGAGCCATAATAAGCTCATGGAAACATTGAACGAACTCAATCTTTTCCGCGAGAGCAGCGTTACGCTGCGCAACCAAGTCAAGCAGGCTGAAACTGCTCTCGCTGAGAAATCTACACGTGTTGAGGAACTTTTGCAGCAGATTGAGCCTTTGGAGACTCGTATCAGGGAGCTGGAAAACATCGTGGAAACGAAGGATGGGGAAATGAAGCTTCTACAGGCTGACCGTGACCGCTGGCAACAACGTACACAGAACATCCTGCAAAAGTACGATCGCGTTGACCCGGCCGAGATGGAAGGCCTTAAGGAGAAGCTTGCCTCGTTGGAGAAGGAACGAGACGAGGCTATTTCAGCTCGTGACACGTTACAAGCACAAGCTGCAACTTTCCCAGAGCAGCTCAAGCATGCTGAGGATAGGACGCAAGAACTGCGCACAAAGCTCACAGAACAGTTCAAAGCCAGATCTAAGGAACTCACTGGCCGCATCAACGCTAAGCAACTTGAACTGAATGCCGTGATGCAGGAGAAGGAGGTCATTCAGGAGGAGCTGAACACAACCAGGAACGAACTGAGTGAGCTCAAGACCAAGATGGCTGAAAGTCCATCCGCACCAACTGCACCCGCTGTTGAGCCAACGCCCGCCGTCAACTCGACACCTGCGTCTCAGTTCCCGACACAAACTTCTATGCCAAGTGATGACGAGAGAGTGAAGGCGCTAGAGGAGAAGGTTCAGCGTCTCGAGGCGGCTCTTGCTGAGAAGGACGCTGCTTTGGCTGCCAAGGACGCCGAGTACGAGACCAAGGCCAATGAAAGAGTAGAGAAGCTCAAGGAGACGTACAATAAGAAGATGGCGGAAGTGAGAGCGGCTCATCGGCAAGAAGTTGAAAGATTGTCGGCCAATCAGCAGGTCGCACAGCAAGAGCCTGGAACGCCTATCTCGAAACCTGAACAGACTCCCGCAACCCCTTCACAACAGGAGGGTGACCTACCAGAGCTCACGGATGTTCAGGCGAGAGCCTTGGTTGCAAAGAACGAAACGATCCAAACGATCGTCCGCAACAATATTCGGGCAAAGGTCGCGAAAGAAACAGAAAAGCTGAAGCAAGAATGTGCAGAGTTGGAGAAGAAGTTTAATGAAGAGAAGGAAGCCCTCAAAAAGGCATATGAGGAGAGTACAGATGAAAAGGTCAAATCTGCCGTTGAGTTATCTGACAAGAAGACCCTTGTCCGTATCAGCATGCTCGATACTCGGTTGAGAACTGCACAGGCCAAACTTGATGTCATCGCGAAGGCAGCTGCCGAAACTCCTCAGAAGCCCGTCGTTGAGGTATGGGAAGTGGCGAAAACCACGAAGGCTCCACCTGTTCAGGCACAAGGAGCCAAGTCAACATCAGCTGCACCATCTGCACCGGCCGCACCGACTGCTGCTCCCGCTCCAGCGCAAGTTGCTACAGTGCCACCACCTTCTGCAGTCGCGGCACCTACTGCAACAGCCGAAAACCAAGACCAACAAGCTGCTGCTCCCGCTCCCGCTCAGCAAGCGACCGCTGCTCCCCCTACTGGCTCAGTGCCCGCTGAAGCTCAGCCTCAAGCCGATGCACAAGTACAGCAGCCGCAACAAGAAGCCGGTCCTGCGCAAAAGCCGGCACCAAATCAACCCGCAAACGCAGTCGCTCAATCTCAGAATAAGCAGCAACCCTCATCGCTACCTAATAAGCCTCCTGCTGGGGGTGTTCTGAGGGCGCTCCAATCAGGGCTCCCAGTCGCTAGAGGTGGTCGAGGTGGCGCTCGTGGCGGCTCTCATCAACAGAATCCATTCGGCCCACAGCCTGCTGATCAACAGCAACCGCAGCAACAGCAGGCACAAACCCAGCAAAGTCAGCGTGGCACTGGTCTCCAACGTGGCCGTGGCGGTCGTGGAGGAGCTGGTCGAGGTGGTCATCAGAACGTGCAGGCCGGCAATGCCCCTCAAGGGCAAAATCCGTCCAGTCCTGGAGGAGGGCGCGGCGGACTCAATGTTCAAGCTCGCCAGTTTGTCCCTCAAGGGAGCAAGCGGGCAAGAGAGGACGGAGGTGAGACTGGAAACGAGGCCGGCGCCAGTGGAGGGAAGAGAATGAGAGGAGGTGGCCATGCCAGGGGTTCTTGAGCCATCTATCGACATAGACTCGGTGTTTGTTTCCTTTTCACGTGCATGTACCTTTACTCCCGGATCTCATTGTGGTTTACAGCATTTATGAATATTCCAATGCCTATATTCTGGTTCAACAAGGCATGAGGCAGTCGAAAATAAGTCATTTCCTTTGTCTATGATGCCTATTTTTGGAGTCTGTACGGTAATCAAAGAATATTTGCATCACATAATTCTTCGGCCTCCTTATTAATCTATTGTATGTGTAGTGGGTCTGCAACTCACTGTGTATGATCTGGGGTATATAACAAACATAAAGACAGTATCATATATCATCGTAATGCACCCTTCGCACTCATAGCATGGTTTGTGCAGTAATTTCGGTCAACTCCAATGTACTGTTTGTTCAGAATGAGCCGCTCATATGTTTCTCTACTTCGACCAATTGACACTGGACGCCGTGTCCAAGACAATGGCCGAAGTAAGCACTTATCAACAGAGCCGGATATCAACTCTCGCACGAACAAGATCATTTCCTCCTGGCCCCAGCAGATGCAGACGACCCAATAAGCCTGGCCACTACCTCTCTCTCCTTCTGTAATACAATCAACCGCGCATCCTCAACCACCTTGGCGTCCAGCGCCGACACGTCCTGCCCAGCCGCAACAGACGAGCTCGTCTTCCCCGTAGCCCGTTTCCTCCTTTGACAGGACCCAGCCCCCGAGCCCCAAACCACAGTCCAATCCTTTATCACCGTGTTCGCCGCAACCTCACAGCCCGAACAGACCTTTGAATGCGCACCCAGAGACACACGCCGGTTAATGATGGCTAGCGCCTCGACCGTAACGAAGGAGTGGATGTGCGCGCCTGGGAAGACGGTCACAAGCGGACCGATCGTCACTCCGTTCGATATCCGTGTTGGAACCACTTCTTTCGGCGCGGGCGGGAGAGAAGGTGGTGTGCTCGGCGGGGTGCCGATTGTGCTCTTTTCGCTGATTATGCAGCCTTCGCCGATGATAATGGGCCCGTCGTATGAGTAGATGCGTGCGCGCGGATGGATGACCGTCCCTGCGCCGACGGAGATGGGGTGTGTGCCTTGGAATATTACCGATTCGGCGACTGTAGCTGTGTTGTGGGCGGCGACGGGGGCTCGTGGTGTTGGGGATGGAGATGTTGACGATGAGGGGGAGGTGCGTTGGTGCGGATTTGGGGGTTTGAGGTGCGTGTCAGGCCTTGGTTGACTAGCTCTGGGGTCCATTGTTCATGAGGACCGGCTGGTCCAGGGAGTGCCGTGTGAATTTTGTAGAGAGACTTTCTTGCTGTGGTTATTGATGTGATGGTAGTTGATATCGGGAAGCTTTTGCGGAGTTTGGAGATCTCCGTGTCTTCTCCGCCCTATTGCTGTTGTGCCATGGGCCTGCTTTCAGCTACCACAGGTAGAGTCATTTGGTGGACAATCTAAGGTTCTATTTTCATGAAGAGGATTTGACACAAACGGTTCCAAAAACGAATGGTCGACCTAGTATGCGATCTTGTCCCCTCTGGGTATCTTGAAGCTAAATTCTAGCGGTGTCATGCAATGTATCCGAACCCAACGCCATTCCCAGCATAAAGCCATATATATACAGAATGTTCATACCGTCTTATTGACCTAAGCGTCTTCGTGACCCTGCTTCCGCGCCCCTGGCTTGATTCCGTTTCTCTTTCTCCAAGCCCAGACACCGCGATCGACCTCCTCCTTGGTCATACCATCTCTAACCAAGCAGAAGGTGACCCCTAATTCGGTTTCGACGTTCCTGTTGCGTGCCTCATCATCAAAGAACAACATATCCTCGTAAGCGATCTCGCTGGCTTGCTGGATTTTCGCAAAGTGTTGTGTTTTAGTGGCAGGGAAGATTTGGACATAGTCAAAGTAATCCAGAGCGCGGACAGACTTTGTTTTCGCCGCAGGATTGTCCGAGAATGTCGGGATAATATGAAGCGCTTTGAGCATATCGCGAGCTAAATCAGGAGCATGCGTGCGAGAAGCTATCGCAAGGGGAATCGAGCGAGTCTTGCAGGAGTACACAATTGACGAGACGGCTGGGTAGAATGCGAATGATTCGTTCCATCTGTGGCGTGGTTTCCGGGTCAGTAAGAGGATATGGAGACGGACATCAATGCTTGATTCAGGTACATACTTGTCAACGCAGCGAGAATTGTTATCGCGAGGCTTGATGGGTGCGCTGACGTGCGTATCAACCCAGAACGGCCATAATGTGTAGTCCAGGTCAAATGCGATTAATTTTGGTAGAGGAAGACCGTCGTTGAAGGTTGCGGGGGCTGTAGATGCGTCTTCTAGCGGTTGAGTGTTTGTTCTCTTGTTTTTCATCATATTGTTGGTATTCGATGCCCAGAGTGCAGACAGGAAAGAATTTGTTGAATTCGCCTTTTCTATTGCTTCTGGTCCGAGTAACTCAATTGCTGTCCGATCCGTGGTCCGGGGAGATCAAGGTACTACGAACTATCTTCACGTGCCTACAACCGATAGCAATGGATCCTCCATCTCCTTCTACTCGTCCCTACTTACGATTGATGAATTTGAATTATATCGACTACAGAGACAAAAGATCAGCGTATCGGATGTTCAGTGAATTCAATCAGCCTCTACATACAAGAACTTATTTCATCCTGCTTTCCTGAAGCTTGAAAAGTCCAGCTAAACCCGAAAACCATTCATCATAAAAACATGAAACCTGATAAATCCCAAAAGTTGAATTCCCTTTTTTTCGTGTTTTCCGTGATTCTCATCTTTTTTTGACAAGCGACTCCATGTCTCGAAAGAAGGACGTCGCTTTCTCCTTAAGTGTGATACGATTCTCTTGGTCTTCAAGGGCGGCTGATAGATCACGCTCTCAAGTCAAAGAGCTGTAGGTGATGCATTTGACAGTTTCAAGGAACTTCCAAATCTGTTGGTGATCTTCCGCTCCTTTGATGGTCAGCTCATAGCTCACAGCATTCCAATCCGCAGCGTAAGTCATGATGCGGACTTGCTGTTGGTGACTGAGAATACCGTCAGCGCCGACAGCATCCGCGATAACCTGACGCCAGAACGCAAAGGGCAGTCCGAAACGCCATTCTCGCTTACGAGAGCTGCGAGGGACCGAACTGGGATGGCTTTTTCCCTTTCCTGAGCGGGCTGCCTGGCTCGGCGGTGTGGATTCCTTTGTCTCTCGAAACTGGACGTCTTTGTCGTGGCCGTTGGTTTGCTGAACTTGCTGCAAAGAGGGAAAGTTGACCTCAAAGTGCTTAGCACCGGGATGAAAGGGTCCGACGGCGATAGGTTCGAAAAGTTCATATTTTTCAAAAACGTATTCTGGACTCTGCTCCACAGTTTCTTCTCCTTCTTCGACCGTCTCGACTATCTCGTCTACACCTGAGAGCTCCTCCTCAGAGGGAGCTTCGACGGTGCGGTCTTTGTCGTTTAAAAGCAAAGCGCGGGAGACAGTCATCATCTTCAACGCGACTCTCCAGATATCGTTGCTGTGTACTCCCTCTTTCTTTAGAGCCTCAATACACACTCTCTTGGCGAGTCTAGCGTGCTCGATGTCCAGCTTCTTCTGCAGCTTGCGCTGTGCCGCATTCTGGTCATCGTCCTCACTAAGCTCGTCCTTTGCAGTGTCATCGTTAGACTTGTACTCGCGCACCAACTCGGCTTTGTCGAGAAGCTTGCATTCATTCGGACCAAGGCCGTCATTTGGGAGCCAGACGATGCCCTTGCATTGCTCTGCTGCTTCTGGCAGGATGGGACATTTTCCACTGGGTAGAAAAGCCAAGAGCTGCTCGGGACTGCGGTGCATGCTCAGCATGCTTGACAGATGCACAGCACAACTGCTGGTCAAGTTGGTGTTGGAAATGATAAGGAACGGGATTGAGCGTAGGCCTCGAGTGCAGGCATATCTCTTCAGCTCTGCATAGGTCAGCTTCTTCGTGGCGCAAGTAGCGTGAGAGGAACCTAAAAGAGCATATCGTCAGTGTAAGCTATTTAAGACGACTGAATGCTTGACTTACCATTCTGCTGTGCAACTTTGCTCTTCTTGGGGGATTGCTTCGAAGACGCCTTCTTGGTAGCTTCGATTTCCTTGCCGTTGATCTTGAGATCTTCCAGCTCGTCTGCGATGGCGTTACTTTCGAGGTCACCCTCGCAGCTCATCCCAACGACCGCTTCGGCATCAGCTTCCAGAAAGTCCAGGTCGCTCTGCAGGTAGACACGTGCGAGGACCTCGATGCCCTTCTGTCCAAGTGGATTATTTCCGAGATCGAACTTCTTTAGCAGGAAACAGTTCTTGAAGGAGTCAAGAAAGCCGTACCATATCTCCTGGTCTTCGGGGGTGCAAACCACAATGTTGTTATGGGAGATGTCCAATTCTCGAAGATCGGCAATACTAAGCTTGATCACTTCAGATAGCTTCCGAAGCGATATGACCGTGAGCTGGTTGCCCTGCAAATGCAGCTCGATCACCTTGGCAGACCCTTCGGGGTGCTCCTGATCGCAGTACTTCATGCAAGCGATCAGGTCATCAATGAATTCGGCAAAGCCCTCGTCAGTGAGTTCCTTGCCCGAAACATCAATTTCCAGATTCGGATCTCTTGCCGCAGCTTTCGCGCCAACGCCGGGTGTGATTCTCTTTTTCTGCGAGGCGACAAGTGTCAGTATGTGCCTCATATCGATGTTGATGAATGAAACTTACCAGATCCTTGGACACAACTTGTCCGGCCTTAAGGCCTGTGATTTTCCTCTGTCGGTGCGGCGTTAGTCTGGATTCCTAGCGAAGATCATGTTGGAAAGGGACAACTTACAGCTGAGTAGTTCAACTTACCCATCTTGGGCAGTCGTCAGACCGACGTTTGTCCTGTTCAAAAGCAAGCATCAGTCATTGTTCTTGAGTCAAGAAAGTGTCAACAGCTAGGCACTGTGAGAATCTCCCAAAAACCTAAGACGCGACCAAAATGCATGGAGAGAGGTGTAGAAGAACTGCACTCACCTCAATGGTCAGGGAGTATCAAGATGGTTGAAGTGCAATGCTAACACGCTCAGGAAATCTCGCGAGAAAGAACTCTAGAGAGGTAAGAGGCAGCAGTTAACTCGCGAGATCAGAGACTGCAGTGTGAATAACACACCATAAGATGATAACAGGACTGCTCTTGGAAATGGGAAGGCTTGTATACCTAACTTGTCTTCTTTGACGAACTCAGAGAAGGTGGTTGCGAGAGATGACGGACAAAGGAGAATGAGAGAGAGAAAAGACATAAGTCCTTGTTTTCTCTGAATGTTTACATCTCAAGTCATCTAGTGGGATACCCTGCCTCCAGGACGCGCTAGGCGTTGAAATTCACGGAGGTTGCCATGTACTCATGGCGAGACCATTCACGTTGTGCTTTCTTCTACTATCTGTTGCTTTCGCTGGGCTTCTCTACAAGGGTAGTAGGCAGTGAAAGGCATAAAGAAGGATAGTAGCAGATGAGAATGAAATCCCTCTGACTTCTTTGTTAGAATATCTAATAAAGATGTGGTGTATCTGCTACAGTCTCATATATGGTATACAGATATGCGAGTCCATCCTCGTAACTTGCCCTTGAACTTCGACAAACAATACCATAAATCAAATCTCCAGTCTCATATTCCATATTTCTTTCCTTCAATCCTGGCATTGCTGTTGCCTCCTCCTTTGTATTACCGTCTAGAAAAAATTGACAATGTCTTTGAATTCATCCAGCAAAGCAGGGTCGATGTCATCCCAGTCCTTTGGCACCTCTGGTAGGTTCGCGGAGCCCTGAATGCTCCCGTTTGTCTCTTTCCCTATAGCAGTTTCAACTTGACCGCGAGGAATCCGAGACAGCTCGTCGTGCTTCATTCTTTTCTCCATCCTTTCGTCAGAGAGGATTCGTCCGGTCTGCCATGAGAGGTCCCTCTTTCGTCCGCGGTGCTCATCTGAGACTCGGGAAGGGTCTAGCGCTTTGTCGACGTCCGTCTCAGAGGTCCTTGGAATATCAGCCTCATTAGAGACAGCATTTCGTTCAAACATGGAATTATCCGGTAGTACTAATGTCTGATCTTGCTTTCCCGTGGCTGAAGTGGCAGTGTGGATTTTGATTTGTTCTGGCGAGTCAGTGGATGAAGGTTGAACCGTATACGTGAACAAGTCGTCGACGTCGGTCCAAGTATCATCCGCCTCGGTTATATCATCACATTTACTGGCAAAGGTTTCGGTCTCCCCTTTTACCTGATTCGTTGTGGCCGTACTACAACCCACCAGCAACTTTGATGGCGAGGGCAAGTCGTCAAAGCTATCATCACCATAGTCACTTGAAGAGCATTGAGGCTTGGAGACATGACTGGTGGAGTTGAGGTGGAAAATGTCCTCGATATCAGTGATATCTGAGTCGATACCGGTGGATCCCACGTCCTTCGTGTGTGTCTTACCACTACTCTTATCCCGAGCCTCGATCGTCGAGGTCCTTCCAGCCTTTATTCTAGGAATGCTGGCTGAGAGTGTCAGCTGGTTAAGTCCACTCTTCGCCTGATTGCCGTTAGCAGACTGCTTCCGGGCGGCTTTGTGTGGCTTCTCGAGGCCTTCTCGGCAGCAGAGATGCTTGCATCTATCCATGGTTCAGCTCCCTTTCGGATGGATAGCAGTTGGTTGGAGCCTACGTTGACTTGTCCTTGCACCTGTGGTTACACGCATATCTGCCATTGTCTAGTCGAGGTGGCTCTTTCTCGGTTTCAGTAGTTGGATTCACAGACTTGCGGTCTTTCAAGCCTTTCTCCTCAACCCGACTCCGGGAGGTGCCGGTTGACTGGTTGACGGCAACCCAGTTGCTTGCCTCGTCTGCTCAATATTGTTTAGTCTGTGTCTACGGCAGGTTGAGTGGTGACATACCTGTCTCCATCAAGTCGTCAAAGAGCCAATTATCATTCTCGATACTATCGTCTGCTCCTTGATCATTTTTGTTGATCGGAGTGTCGTCGGTGTCGCGGCTTGGGACATTCATCCTTGGCCGCTGCATCAACTCCAAGGCTTGACTTTCCCTTGGCTGAGATGGGAAGAAGACACTTGGCAGCTCCGGTTTCAGCTCCGCAGACCTCAAAGTACCGGCTATTGGGATTGAGCAAAACTGCGAAGGCGCGGTTCAAGCTAGGAGTTTAACATACCGATCTCGTCACACATCGCATAGCATGTTATATATAGGTGTGGGCTCTTCAGCTCTGCATCTAAGGGTATCTCCTGACTCTGCTGAAGTTTATTTGCACTATAAGGCCGTCAGCTCGGCAGTGCGATTATGAAGGCTGCCCAGTCATACCTGATACGCCGAAAATCTATCAGATGGCCGTCGGAGGCCTCTGCTAAGAAGCAGACATACACAGGTCGCCGCTGGAAGAAAGTCGGGGTTTTCTCATTCATGAAAGCAATCTCGGCCTTGAATCGTATCTTTACAGGTTTTCCGGGTTTAATTTCCTAATAAGCTATCAGCGAGACCATCTCGCCAAGAGATCAGAGAAACATACCTTTCCTACCAACTTGACATTCACTCTAAGCTTAGGAAAGTCGGCAACACGGGCAAGTAGTTTCATCCCGAATGGCGGATTCCTACTCATGATCATATCAATGCGATGGGGCTCTGTGGCTTCCAGGGCGTCGATGCTGGTAACCCCAGCTGCTGCAAGTTTTCTCACTGCCACGATACCGACTTGGTCGATTTGCTTCATCTGCAGAGGACAGTTATCCCAAACCTTGGCCCCAAAGCTTCTTGCGAGCTCGAGGGCATTCCTGGCGGTGATTGAGTCTTCAAGGGAGATTTTGCAATCTATCACGCATCGAATGAGCCTATTGATATGAGAGAACACGAAATTCTTGTCCTGCTGAAAAGCAAACTTGTGTTTCTGATATTGTTCGCCGTCCGGATACTCGACCCCACCGAGCTCTGACTGGATGAGCAATAGGATCTTATGAGCTGGAAGCGCTATATCAACTTTCACCGGGAACCTTATGCCATTGGCTCGGTTCAGTTCTTTATACAGCGACTTCTCGCCTGCCTTGAGCCTTATCTCGCGGAATTCTTCTGCTTCAGCAATTGCAGAAAGCTGAATAGAACCATTAGAATTTCTCCTATCTTCGAACAGAGGACGGGCTGACCTACCACTTGAGATATAGTTGCGTGAGCTTTCAGGGCGAGTAAAGTTTTCATGGTATCGAACCGTACATAATACCGAGCCATGGCATCTCCGAATGGTGTGGACTTGAGACGTTCAGAAGCAACTAATCCAGTCTCTTGCAGAAGTTTGATATCTTTCTCGCAAATCTGCCTAAGCATCTCGTCTTCATCATTCTTCCTGGCCCCTTCCTTGAGTTGATAATGCTTTGGATTTCTTCTCAGCCTGACAAACAGAAAAGTACCCGCAAGCCATCTGACCGCGGAATCGACATCAGTGACGGTACCTAATCCAATCTCGGCGTTCAAGTGGTCGATCAGGTTGAGATGCAAACAACTCTCAAGTGTCTCAGACCCAGATACGAGTTTTTCATAATGTTGAACTCGTTCCTTTCTCGTCATGATCACTGCAATAGCGCTATCGTCGAATTGAGGTCGACCAGCTCGACCAAGCATTTGCATCATCTCGAGATCGGAGTATTCTTTGCAGCCACCATCCTGCCAGCCTACTGTACCCTTGATAATAACAAGGTGACATGGGAGATTGACCCCCACTGCCAGGGTTGAGGTACAGCAAATGACGGCGATATGTCCCTGCAGGTACCCAGACTCAACTGTATGGCGATCAGCAGGGTCAAGACCGGCGTGATGAAATGCAACTCCTGCCATCAGCGTGTCTGTGCCATCCAGTTAGTTCTATACCCACGAACTGGAGATCAGTGCGTACTTCTGAGGTCCGCATTGTGGGCTTCGAGATACTTGCCCGATGCTGTCCATAGCCTTGCCGGGGGGTTGGTCATGGACCATAGACGAGCAAGCTCTTTTGCTGTAGCGACGCACGAATTCCTGGTACAACAGAAAATCATGATTGGCTTTCTACATGAATGCGTACCTAGAATATCGGGGAGCCTGTAGACCTCAGTAACATCCGCGACAGGACAAAATTTGCATGCTTACTTCGAACCGCATAACTTGTCGAAGGCAAAATCATTGCTGTGTGACTGATAACCATACACAAACTTCTGGAGCTTGACAGGGCGAAAATCCTCCCCGAAGTGCTGTCGGTGCGCCGGTACATGTTGGTTCGTCGCGTCTTTCCCGAGCCAGCTCGCAATATCCTCCGAGTTCGGGACCGTAGCACTCAGCGCAACGAAGCGAACATTCGATCCGAATGTCTTCATTCTTGACACAACCGCTTCCAGCGTCGCACCACGAGCCTCCTTGAGAATGTGAACCTCATCAATTAGGAAAAGCTTAACCAATTGCATCAACCGCGCATGATCTTTCCACTTCCGAGTCATGCTGTCCCACTTCTCGGGTGTGGTGACGATGATCTGACTGTTCTGGACACTCCTGAGCTGCGTATGATCAGTGTCGCCAGTTAGCTCCGCACACTGGAGTCCCAAGGACATGAACTTCCTGTTCCAGTCCCGAAAACGCTCGGAGCACAGGGATTTGGTCGGTGCCTGGTACACAACCTTGAAGCGCTCATCTTTCAAAGTGCTGAGCAAGCGACAGATCGCCAATTCCATGATGACTGTCTTACCGCTTCCAGTAGGAGCTGCCAGCACAATATTGTCATCGGTCTTGTAGACACGCTGGAAACATTTCGACTGTACAGCATTGAAAACCGGGAAATGGAAGATGGACCGGTAGCTATCCGGAAGCTCATGTACTGAGACAAGGACGATTCCTCTAACTGACATGGGAATATTTTTGAAGGGGCTCTTCTGACATTGCGCTGTACTAATCGATAGTGTAGAACTTCCGTGTGACGGCGATTCTTCCTCATGCAATATTTGGTCTTCGTGGTACTGTCTCGAAGGCCCCTTCGCTTGATACTCTCGCTCCCGACGAGTTACAATCGTCTTTCCGGGCTGCAATCGACTGAGCGGACTAGAAGGTGACCCCAGACCTAGATCCGATGAGCTAGAATCCAAGTTTCGGAGGGGCGTTATGTGGGAGCTCGCTGCGTTCATTAGTCTTTTATACAGGATAGGCGAGGCATGAGCGTACTCTGGAAAAATCTAGATACCTGCTTCTCACCATCATTTCTCTGTTGCACCGATGGATAGTTCAAGTTAGCCGGCTGCCTCAATGGATTTGGGTTGCTTCCATCCGACTGAGCAAGCAGTTCGAGGTCTGGAATCTTTCCGTCAACTCAATCCACGACCCCATTGTATCGACTCGTCGCCGTCAAAATCACTCACCAAAGGCGTCCAGTTGATGATCATCGCTATGGAAGGACGGCAAATCCGGACCAACAAGATGGCTACAGTGATCGACATTCTCAGATTCATGACCTCGAGGTCTGTTCCAAGGTTGGGAGATCTGAGCGCCCTCGATAAGTCTTTGATCGATAATTGCTTTTGATGTAGACAACCCAGGCTGGGCCCGCCTTGCGCCCATCGGCCTTTGGTTGAAAGCACTATGTCGTGTTATTGAGAGGGGCTCGTGAGATTTGCGCCCCATGATGATCGACAAGGGACAGACAGCGTCCAGCTTCAAGAAGCTTTAAACGGAGAAGATGAGTGCAAGAGATTCAGTGGAACAGCAGCAAGCCCCGAAATGAGGAGGGGCCAGGCGGGAGGGCATAGATGCCCCAGGCGAGAAGAGCACGTGGGAGAACTCGATGCAGAGGAGTTAACAAGACAATCATTGAATCAAGTGCTGTTAAATATCCTTGGGACGAGAAGCTCGACGTCCAGCTCGTTCATATTCATTCATTCAACCTTATACACTCATACACATCAGGACATCTCCCATGATTCACGCTATATGAGATATAATGACCATCACACTAAACAACCAAAATCAAACCATGGTCACAAAAGGTATAGAGTACAAGGACTTGCTACGCTTCCCTCCAAAAGAAATGCAATGACTCGGAGTCGGACATTCTTATTTACTTCTCGATATCACGGATACCGGAGCAACGCTAAATATTGACAAGGTGAAGGCGGGATATGCTTGGAAGTCGGTAGGCTCACTCATCCCGTGACTGCTTATCGAAATAGCCGCCGCTTGTAGTGCGGCCAGAGCTGATTCTAGCAACGCCTGGCGACGTGGGTCTGGAGGTGGACAACCCAGCTTGAGACAGGAATGGGGTGCTCGGGAGCTTTATCGAGAATTCGTTCTGCGGACCTGCGACAGGTGAAGTCTCATCACTCTTGGCTTCCTTCTCAAACCGCTCGATCCGAATTGGCGGTGGACGGATGCCGTGAGCTTTAGTAGGACTGGAATCTAAGCTAGAATCCTCATAGAGGAATGTGGCCACAAGCACCGCGAAAGTCCCAAGGATGAACTGAAGGAGTCAGACGTCAGTCACCATGCGCAGAAGTTCATGATCGAGTGAGATACATACGTTCCCCGTGAGTTCGAAACCAAACAACCACACACTCCCCAAAGTGCTGAGGACAATGCTAATGGCAGTGGCCACGTTTCTTGCGTCCTTGTATGCGTGGCTGATACAGAAAGAGGTCGTGATGCCCCCAATAGCCTGGACCACGATAGTCGACCAAACAACCCAATTATAGCCCTCAAAGAAGCCGTTTGCGGCGACCTTTTCCCCGTCGAGGAAGACGACACCGATGAAGAGGGCTGGGAACAAAGAATACACGGACAACTGCACATTACGCACCCACAGAGAGGTGGTTTTCACGCTGTCTTTTAGTACTTTCTCAAAGTACACACCGGCGAGCCCCGAAGCGACACAGGCCCCAATCGTAGCCAGCAGACCAACTGTGCTGTTCAATCGCGGCATGGCGGTCAATAAGTCCTCTTCAATGCCCTCGTAGGTTGCTGAACGCTTGTGCAAATTGGCGCGTTTTCCTCTAACAGCTTTCCATTCTTCGAATGAGCGGGGGAAAGAGTGATGCACGGCCTCGTGATCCAGTGAGATTTCATCGGTGGCTCCATCTGGCATTTGCACAAGATAGACGCCGACGAGAAGAAGAATCAGGAAACCCCATTTACGCAACGGTATAGCTCTCTTCAGGAGAACAAGGCCAAAAATGGAGCCGACGAGGAGCTTCAACTGGTACGTCACCTGGAAGTTCGCGGCCTGCAAGTTGGAAAGTGCAATATATTGCAAAGAGTTCGCGAGGGTGTATAAGCTGGCAGGAATGGCAAGTTTCCAACTGTCACCAGAGAACACAGTACTGGTCAACGAAGAGAGGAGCGACGTGGCAGGCATCGATGGGGGAGCTGATCTCGACACTTCGTAGAGGGCCACCGTCAAGGAAATCGCAAGCTTGGTGACTTCGTTGAGAAAAACTGCGGTAGACGTGAGGTATCGTTTACCTCCGGTGGGAGGCATGACTCGGGAATAATGCAAAAGCTGTTATAGAATGGAATTTAGCTAAGTGTCACTCTTGCTCCAAGTCGAAGAAAATCATACCAGTACGAACGCCGTATATTGAACCGTCAGCTACAAAGGAGAAGTCAGTAAATAGAAACTTAAATCACTATGTTCTGGCTCGGCGCAGTTCAGAAAGAAACACGCAGTCCAAACCAAAATGCCTCAGTGAAGACTAACCAGCATCCAAGAGGAACGTCTCAAAACGCCTCCTAGGCCTGAAGACTGGCCCCGAGTATGTTCCCCCATAGTGACAACACTATCGTAGGTGCCAGCCCCTGAAAAATGACCGCAACACAACCCACTGGAAGATGTACGTTGTTGGCTGATTTAGCCTGTGATTCTGATTTGGAAGAAAGGGTCGTTAAGAAAATGCCGAGGGCTGCGAAATAAGTTGTGCGCGTGCCGATGGACAGGGAACGGGAAATCTTTCGCGGTTCTTCACACTAAGGCTTAAGCCTTGCAGTCCGCCAGCAAACTGCCGCTGAGAGAGGACAAAAAGCGGCGTTTGTCCTCAGCGTAATGTAGACAAAAGACCCTCGGAGCGCGCGTATTTAGACGAAAAGCCGGGGGTGATATCGCACAGGGCGTCGGATGGAAATAACGACGACGTCAGATAGCCAAGATAAAACCTGAAGACCAAGAATGAAAATGGCCTGGCCAGCAAGCGGTCGTCAGCATAAATAGAGACCTCCCCTGCGACGAGCACCTTCCAAGATCCAGACAGGGAGTCCACCAGGAGAGCGATCAGTGATTCTGTGTGGATTCTGGGGTACCACAATTACCAGCTGGGGGCGGTGTGTGGGCCACGGAGAGGGTCTAAGTCTAGGGTAATAATACTGATTCTAGTTCTCACTTTGGTTGCTCAACTCTTGAGCCTTGAGTCTTGACTCCCCTTGTCCGCCAATCGCCAGTAACAAATACTGATGATCCGCAGTCCACCAGCTCGCCAGTTTCTACGCCAGCCACAAAGAAAAAATAGGCCAATGAATCGATTGACGTCCTTGATCAACTACATGAAAAGTAATCTTTGCCATTGTTATTACCTAGTTGTTACCTGTTAACTTGTTCCTCCGTAATACTTTGGCTTGGCCTAGATCGACTCCAGCTCCAGGGTCTGACGTCAGAGTCCAGTCTCGTCTCACAATGGGACGATCCTCCTCGCCTCCAGTTTAGTCTGACTTGCTGGAGATCCAAGGCGCTCCTTCGCTGCAGGTTGGCAAGCCACATCACCCTAGCAGCACACAGCCTGAATCGTGGGCTCGGTGACATTATCCTTAAACCAACAGAAATTCTACACACTACACTGTCCCTGTTTGATTTGCATACAAGAACGAGTTCCCCACCAGTGAATGCATTTGCTTGTAGTTTGAGCCCTGGACAATATACAATTGGCTTTGTACACACAGTGATCATATAGATTCCATGAAGTAAGGGAGTCCGTAAGGCAGCGTATTTCGAAGCCGACTTGTCATTTGCCTTCCTTTTATAGAGCATTGCAGTAGAATGATGAGATGGTATGCCTTGCATGCAAGGCATCGTCAAATTTAAAGGAAATATACTAAACTCATGTGGTATATGTTGCAAACTTGCGGTGGAGCATCGACAATGCTCTGACATAAGAGATGATCCGCTTGATGTGGAGGGAATGGCGCGGCAGAACATGATATAAACAAAGAACAAAGTAACGAGAGATCATAAGTGAGTGGCAGCTCCAGATGTGCGAGATTAAAGGTAAGGGAAAGAAAATCAACGAGAGTGAAAGGTCAACGTCACCGCCTATCTAGTGTACAGCAGCTAAACTGCGACTGGCTTGGTTCCAGTCAAGTGCCCAAATTGGAAACTCATTTCCCTCTCCCGACTCTTCAGCTGCGTCTAAGGCAATCGCCTCGCTGCTATCTGTGCGTCTTCTGGAGTGCCTTCTCTGAGCCTGAGGCACGGCGGGAGGAGGACGACGTGGGGGCGGTTTCTGTGATGGAAGGGGTGAGAATCGGTGTATAGGCAGTGTCGGGGTCAGCGGTGATGCCCCGCTGGTAGCGGGAGATGGTAGGCTTTCAGAGTACGCCACGCTTGCGCGACCTGAGTTGATCGTTTTCTGTTCAGCATCAGAAGCAGCGCCCTGAGAAATAGTACCGTCCTTGTCATGGTAGGTTGCACCTTGATCTGCCCGTGACGGACGCTGAGGTGGCAGCCCGGGACTCAATCGCAAGAAGGTGTGCGAACCGTAGAAAGAGTCACGGGAAGGCGAGGAAAGCATTGAACCCTGGTCAGGCTCCAGGCTGGTGTTATACTGTGCCTGCTGAAATATACTTGGAGTGATCTTCCCTTTCCGCTGTCTCATCGCCTCGAGGAGATGTTCTTCTTGCCTTGTCACTGCCATCACTCGACTTCTCCTATCGCGTTCTTTTTGAGATAGGGGCGGATTCCTGAATTGACTGAAGATATCATCGTTATCAGGCTCGGAGATGGTAGGTATGCCGCTTGACCGACGTGATCGGCTTTTCTTTGTCGCAGAAGATAATTTGCCCGCTGAAGACATTGATGGGTTTCGATGGACAGATGAGTTGTTCGGGAGGATCTGAGAGCTGCCCTTGCTGGACAGCTTGGATACGTCCACCCGCCGTAATGTCGAGGCCCGTGTGGCTTGTGCGGCGGAGGCCATACAGATCTCTGCGTCAAACTCGTCTTCAAATGTGACGAAGCTGTCTCTTGCTGTAAGATTGTGAGGTTCGCCTATGTTCTTGCTTGGCGCCTCATCTCCATCGCTTTCATCTTCCGAGGATGAAAGGCACAGAACGCTGGAGTTGTTTAAATCGACATTCCTCAATGTGCTCTTGCTGCTTTTCTTTGACATTAATCCCTTGTCGACGGCCGAGTCTTCCCGCGAGGCAGACTTGCGTGTGTTTGACGAGTCTGATTTGTGGTTTGGCCTTGGAAAGGCGCAATTTTTTGGAGACAAGTATGTTTCTTTGCTCCAGCCCCCAACAGAGCCACTGGACGACATCTTCCGCAACGCTTTCTCTCTGGATTTGGGACCAGGGGCTCGCGTATTTCCCGGGCTTTGTGAACTCAAGACAGATGGCCCGGATTGCGCTGATTTGATGGACTTGAGACTTTTGGCGTCATAATATTTGTCGAGGGCCATATCGAATTCGCTAGTCCTCACTGTTCGTTCAAAGGCCGCGCCCAAGTAATCCATATTCTTTGACTCACGAACTGCTGAGGTTATTTTTGCGTTATCGTTCTCCTGCAGGGTATCTAGCTGACCGGCAGGCGCTCGTGTGGGTGATGTTTTCGTGGGTCGCTTCACAACTGTAGGCGGTTCTGGTCTCTTCATTTGAGTGGAAGGATATTCAGAAGTCACCGAGATTGGAGACGGAGAGCTCGTCAGGCGCTGCGGGGACAAAAGAGGCGCGGCAGTCTCTCGCGGTTTGGGAAACAATAGAGAAAGATCAATCCTTGGTGGCCGCATTTTCCGCTTTGATTCCTTGACGGGTGTTTTGGCTGGCCTTAGGCTCATTCTTGAATCTATATTTGATCCTCGGCCCGGACTGGCACCACCCTGTTGCGACTCGGGACTCCTTGCTGCTGCCCCGGTGCTCAAATGTGACGAACTCTGCTCACCGGTGGGTTCTCTCGAACTGAAATAGGAGAAAAGAGTCGACGATGACCCGAACTGATGGATTTTCTTCGATGATTTCGGAAGAGGAGGACTAACATCTTGAGACAGATACTCTTGTCCCAAAAGCGGGGACGATGCTCTGACGCGAAGGTGCTGGGATGGTAGGGTTGTGTCAAGATTGCCCGACGGAAAAGGGACGAATGTGCCGCTTTTTGTCGATTTGTTTTCTGATGTTCTCATGAAACTGGCCCGGATATTTCTCCTTGTGTCATCTTGCTTATGTTCCTGAAATGAGATGTCTGTCGTTCCCAAGATCTTGTGGGCTTTCGATGATTTCTCGCATCTCAGGTTCTCCTGACTCCTGTTGCTCGTTCGCATTCCTGTGGTCTGAGCATTCATACTCGATGACCTCAGCGGAATTGCCAATGACGGCTGAGACATGACGCAATTCAGTTTGCTGTGCCACGCCAGCAGATGTTATAGTATTGTGAAGGGAATTCGGGGTCGGGAACTGAAGCCAAGGTGCAATATCGAAACGTCGTCCTCGTCGGCTGTTATCCCAAAGGCGTTCCGGAAATGCTGCTCTTCTGCTTTCCAAGGACGGCCTTGTCGAGAATCGTCAGATTTCGGGTGATTAAGCTATCTCTAGAGATTTAGGATAAAGAGGGAGTGGAAGTAAAGTATCGGTAGGAGATCTTCGAAAAGGAATCAGAGGTCAGCTTCGTAGCAGCAACATCCTTCGACAGGTCACCCTTATGCTTTTCAATGATGCACAAGAACAAGTGAGCAGGGAGTCGAGTGAGACACCAATTTCTGGCCGTGCGAGCCTAGATATTCGATTGGCGCTATTGGTTGATCGTCTGGTATCTGGGGACGAAGAGGGGAGTACCTGAGGAACTTCCACTTCCAGCTAAGGGGTTACGTATGGGAAGGAAAAAGGTTGTTCGAGCGCCAACATCTTAATCGCATTGGCCAATCCACAGCTGATACTCGATGGAGAAAGGAGTCGAGGGAGATCCGCCAAAAGTATCGTACGGAGTTTAATTTGTCATAGTAAGAGTGGGCTGTGTGGACTGTGGGACGTCAATCGTGAGCAACACCGCCCAAGCGCTAAGTAAAGTACCTGTGTGATATCTAGATTGCAGTGCTAGCACTATCACCTTGGGCTGGTTCTGACCTGCATCAAATTGCACAGAAGACGGCATGTCTGGTGGAAACGAGACCTGTGTGAGCCGTGGTAGAGGCCGTGTAATGGGTATAGCGTCAGCTAGCAAGGACAGGAAAGGAAATCATCGGCAGGCACGGGGCGGCGATGCGTCGATGGACGGATGGACTCCATGGTTCAACTAATTGAAATAAATCCACTTAAGTCTGTTAGAAGTTAGTGCCTCGAGATTAGCTGCTAGATAATTGATTATTTCAGAACAGTTGTACGGAGAACCAGGACCGCATTCAGAGATGAAATAATAATAATGTCTACCTTAGACTAGGGATAGGTACTCCGTGTCGAGCACAGTATGTTGGGATTCCCAGGGGGTTCTATTATTATTATAAGTCCTACAGTACGGATTATTGGTCTCAACCTGGCAACCAGGGTTTGATGATCAACCTGAGCAGTGAGGAGAGATAGCTTATTGCTTTCCCTCCGCATACTTCTCTAGTTTCCAGGAGATTTTCTAAGAATTCAATAGTCGGAGAATGGATTCGTGATCGTCCTTCAGAATCGGGACACAATGAGACGTATTGGGCGCTTTTGATGCTGACACGTGCTTTTCCACGCGGACTGCTTCAACGATAATCAGTCTCCTGTCTGCGAATTTATGGCATCTCTCCACGATCATGACTTTCCTCGGATGTACCTTTTCTTTGTATGATATCAACTCGGCGATTGGGGACAATAAACATGACAATACTGCACGGGGGCAATAATAATAGTCATTGGTTGTACCAGCAATTCCGCAAAAAAAGGGTCGACACTGACAAGAGAGTTTAAGGGGTAAAACCACCCACTTGGGACTTCATCCTCCACTGGTTCTGCCACCAACTCGATCGATGGGCCTAATAATAATAGTGCTAGATATTAATTATGGAGCTACCCCGTGCCAGGAACTGGTTCATGGCTTGAACTATTATTATTCGGCTTGCCTCAGTCCTGAATTTCCTGACTGAAGTCGAAATCGATGCCGATCACCCTCCCGCTCACCAAGGCCTCACTCTGGCATGAGGTAGGCTTGCCTCCAGGCTGAGTAGACAGGGGCCAAGTGCTGCTGATTGGAAGATTCTCCTGTTCTATTCTCGATCCAGAATAGAGGAAACTCTGCCAAGTAGAATACTGCAAGTCCTAAGGTAGTAGAACATACAGAGTCTAAGCTGATTTCCTTCTCCGGTAATCGAGCTGCTTCAGAGTTCAGACACTAACAGAACTTCACAAGATCCTTTTTCCACAACTAGTAAGGTGAAGTCTGGTTTGATTGTTGGGCATGCTCGCCTTGTTTTCTGTCTAACGATCGACTATACCATCATTGCAATGCATGACATGACGGATCGCCGTCAATAGTTGACAGGTCCATTGGAAGAGTCCCAAAGAAGTGAAGAGATCATTGACTAGATCTGTTGCCCATAAGGGCAAGATGTGCATCACTGGCTTCTCAGTTCAAGTCAGAGAAGCTCCAATGCCTCAGCAACACGCCGACAATGTTCGTGCTGGCCAGGACTTATTCTAAAAAACACTAGCCTTTTTTTTCCGAAACAAGGTGAAGAACATCTCCACCGACAGACGATGAACAGGGGAACGATCGACTGAGCCCACTCGTCATCCAGAATCACACGGACCAGATTAACTTTATGCCAGGAAGGGGCAATGGACGTCACTGAAAGTCCACGGATGAGATGCGAATGATTGTCGTACCCCGGCATCAAGGTCTGTGGCACGTACCGGAATGCGAACAAGCGTAGATCAACTCACCCACTTGGTCGATTGTTGAAAGCTGAATCGTGAATTTCAAATACGGCTGAATCTACTGCTTGCAATATGCCCCAAGGGGTGGCAGAGCTGAGTCCAGGCGATAGGACCAGGTACAGAAATTTCTCACAGAGCACAGAAGCCAGAATCACAATAAGTGCCATAAAGACATAAACAGAAGATCTACCGAATCCTGACAAATCCGTCGCTTCACCTAAGCCACCGACCACTCCTCCTCAGTGTTCTGTCTATCTATCTAGTATCTGCAGGCGTCATGCAGCTTTGACAGACTAGAGCACCTGAACTACGGAGTATTGCTGGCCAAAGAAGCAAGGGATACTGCCACGAAGATATATCGGAAATATGGAGTGATATCTAACATGAACTGTCGCGGAGAATCGGATCGATCCATCGGCGGAGATCTCTTTGGCGTTGTTGATACATCACATTCATGGACCCATGGCACCGTTACTCCGTATGTCTCAGGTCTGTGTCATATACGGCACTCTGCGACTGTGATCTAAAACCTATTCCAGCTCTTGACTCCTTTGTTGGGTAGGTAAAGAATGAATAAGCCTCGATCAAGCTGCGTAGCTGGTTTCAGTCTCAACAGCGGCCTCAATTGGGCTTGGGAGCCCTGATGACCTAAGCTCACGTTGTCCCATACACATGGTCTTTCAAGGTCACTAGTGGTTTAATAATTGTGGAGGACTGCTCTCAAGCGTGAGTACAAATAGCCAGCTGTGGCAATAGGAAGCAAACCGATCTTTCGACAAGTTGAACACGTAAAACCCTGCTCCAGCCAAGTGGTCAAACGAGGCGGGGCTGCAGGAGTCGCAGCTAGTTAGGGAGGATTCTTCCGGGCATAGCTAGCTAGAGATCCTACAGGAGGACGCATCATGAAGTCGAATTGTCAGCAGCATATGTTGGAAGTTGGGTCCGGTGTCTTCGATTCGGTAGACGGACTCCTGTAAACAGGTCTGCATTTCCTCTTCAATCACAGAAGCTCGACGGGCTAATATCCTCATGATAGAGTGTGAATTTTTTCCTGTTTTGCATGCTCTCACGTGTAGAATTGAATTCGTTAATGGTCGGGAATATAAGGATGGTCATGGCTAGTTGAGTCTGACTGACACTACGACTACGCTGGCTGCTCAAGATATCAATTGTTAGAAGCTGTGATCAAAGGTTCGATACTAATACATCTATCATGTCAATAATTCGCACAAACATCGTTCAGCTAGACCCCGACTCTTGCAGTTCTTCATTTTCTCTTCTTCCTGTTTCCTCTTGCTCTTTTATGTCACCCTTACTGAGCCCCTTTCCCCGTGAATCGAGGGATCCTAGGCCACAAGGCTAGGGGTGACCCTTAGGCCAGGAGCTCTGCGTGCACGAAAGGAATGAGAAGGCGTTCCTTGAATAAAGCATCAGCACGGCCAGTTGCTTCCAGGTTGAATCTTGCGGAGCTGAGAGCTTCGGAACTGACTTTGGGCACTCGTGATTTTTTATTCGCCGGCTTGATTTTGGTCAAGCACCCGTCGCACAAAACCGTACAAAATCAAGATCTATTTCAAAGCACCCGTTCATCCTCGCTCGTTGCAGCGCCGATATCAATCAGCCGAGAGTAATTGCTGATTTTGCGTCTTTTCCTGCTGCTACGTCGAAGTGCGCCCTCGCTACTCGATGGGCTATCGAGCCCTTCTTTCTGGGAAGTCATTGAGTTATCAACAGGAGTGTCTTTTAACTCGTGGGTTCCGCCGAGGTGGCTATCAATGGCTTGTGCCTGCGTCGGTGGCTGATTGCTGTTCATATCAAGGTCATCGGAGTCGTCATCATTTTCGTGGCTCTGCGGCAATTGCTTTCTCTTGCGCGCACAGTTTTCCTCCGCCGGTTTGCCGAGAGACTCTGCTCGTTTCGGAGTTTCCTGGTCTATTCCCACATTTGCTCCTATAACGGGAGCCTGATCTCGAGAAGCGGGTCCGGCCAAGGAGCGAGGTAGAACATACTACAATAGTCTTAGAACTCGAAGTCTGTTCATGGTACGAAGACACTCACGTGATGCCCAATCTTTGCCATTGGGTTGAGTATTTCTTCTTTCATCTTCTGCTGGATTTCTTCCGAGGGCGAGATCTTGAATTTTGGCAAGCCTTTCCTGAGGAATCCTCTTTGTTTGTAACCGGGAGTCGGCTGAAGGATGTTTTGTTTTTTCAGTATATCAGTAATCTGAATAATAGTTTGCCCATTGCAGTCTGCCACTCATCAGTCGAATTCACAGTTGACACCGACGGTTGAACTTACGGAGTTTCTGAGTAAATAATGAAGTATGACTTGGATAGCCTTCATCCATAATGATCCTAAGGGCTCGTCTCAAGAGCACCAGACTAGTCATCTCGCTCAGTAACCGGACCTCATTGGGCTCAAGTAGGCACTGATAGCACGCATGGACATCAGGAATTCTGGGGTCGTCCGAGCTGTCAAATCCGTAGCATGCGGCATGCTGACGTGAATGGCAGAAAACACACTCAATCTGCTAGACTTAGCATTCAGCATTTGCAAAACATAACAAGCTTACCATTTCCGATTCCTCTCCATCCCATCCGCATTGACATCGAACGCTTTGCTGATTCTCGTTGCCCTCGCCGAGAGTCCTATCTCGTGGCCCAACGTGCTTCTGGATCTCGGCAACTTTTTTCTGTGACAGTATAGTCCCATGGCCTGGATGCGCGTCTCCCTTATCGACATGGTCAACTACGGGTCTGGGATTGATCGGTTGGGTCGGAACGAGTTCGCTGTCCGGCAGAGGGGATGTCCTCTGGGTCTGATTTGGTGAGCTATGTAATCTATGCTCATGATTTCAATCGGACTGCTTACAGGAATCATCATCTGCAACTTCTCTCTTTCAGTGATATCTTGGGTTGCTTCCTGAGACATGTCGGTGGAACGAACCGCTGTTAAAGGTAAGCCTCGCCTGAAGTCATCACTTTTTAGATGACAATTCTTACATCGGATTTTCAAGTCATCCTCGTTGATTTTCTCCTCGGCAAGTCCAATGTCCTCAGATCGGTGCACCACGTCTCTATATTCGAGGTCCATGGGCACCTTCGGTACAATTTCCGACCCCTCTGGGTCGGGTCCCGTCCATTTGAGGGACGTCACTTTCAGTCCCACCCTTATAAAATTAGTAAGGGAAATAACTCTGGCGGGAAAAGACGCCTACGTATGCCATCCGCTATTCATTGCTCCGCAAGACTGGGTTTCCTTTCTCCAGTTCTCATTAAGTGGATATTTGATCACGTCATTCATCGCGCCGGTGAACCCGGGAGGCTCGTACTCCGGGGGACAGTCATCGGTATAGAATAAATGGATTCCCAGATTCCTTTTATCTGTCAAAGAATTAGCCAGTACGTCTTTCATATAACAGAGGAGGAGAATACGTGGGAGGTTCGGTAGGAAGGTACTGAGTGTAATCAGTCTTCGAACTATCGTCTCTAGACCGACTCTGGCCGTTTGAGCAGACTTCAAATCGGCGACACAGCCCACAGGATTGATCGACAGACTCTCAAGGCGACTGTTCACACCGCCAGAACCTTTCGAGTATTTGAAAGTAAAAGTATAGGTCTCCAAGACATTTTCTGGCTTGTCTTTGTCAACAAGAATGGTGAATTGAATAGCACCGAGGACATTTCTCTTGAGCGCATCAAATATGCCGTTTTCCTACTCCCATCAATGGTCTGAATATAGATCAACGTAGACAGCAGACGCACCAGGACATCGAGTATCATATTAGCCTTGGGGTCGGAATCGCGGACGATGATCTTCAGTGGTTGTCCCCTCCTCCCGGTCCCGAAGGGGACTTGTGAAAGAACTCCGGTTCCTCCGGGGTGCGGTTTTCCATCTATAAACTCTCTGTATGATAAAGCGTTTTCCCTCTGAGCCTCTTTCAGATCTCGATCGTCGAAGCACGGGAGCGGTAGAAACTCGCTTTGGGAAGTACAGATCAGGATGTCTGTTAATATGGCACAAGGTGAGGACAAACTGACCGGAGATAGAACAACGTCCCGAGCTATAAACATCCGATTAACCTTAGTAAGGAGATAAACCAGACTCGGCCAGGTGTACTCACCGAGACGTGCAGCATGATTTGTACCAATTCCAGGCTTTGCTGCTGTTTCAAGGCTGTGCTCTCTTCAACTATGGATCTCGAGATATTCTCCACTTCCGCCTGCCTTTCAGTCTGGACAGAGACGTCACCTTTTGACATGAGGCCTTGGAGAATAGGAGTTGGCTGTAGTTGGACCGTTGACACAGGCCCGGTAAATTTGATTCGGGCCATTCTGAGCAATCTCTCTGACGGCCCCCTCTACGCAAGTGGTTTGAGAACAGCAGAGACAAGGAAAATGCGGAGCTGATTTTGGTTGCGGTTTCGTGCCAGATGTTAATAAGGTTGCAGATAAGATAATTAGAGTTGACCTGAAAACAAGGTCATCGTGACGCGAGGGAAAGACGATGGTCAAGGTTCTGGGGATTCACAACTGTTTTCTGTAGAGGTTCCTCCCCGCACGCCTCAGGCAACGACTCAGCTACAACCCAGCAAGGCCAATCGACGCAGGTGGTGGGTGCATAGTTTAGGGGAAATGAAGATAGTAAGTCTCTCCAAGTATTGGTGAGTTAAGTTTTCTGCTTTCAACCCCAGGTGGTAGAGTCTGAGGATGGAATCATGAGCTTTCAATATATGGTAGGGAAGCGGGGATATCGGAGATTCCAGATGCAACCACTTGAGTGACGTTCTTCTAGGTGCCTGTCTATTGGGCCCCTGGGACTTAAGGATAGCCAGGGCTTGCCTATGGAGCCATTTTCCTTTCTATTTTTTCCTTTTGTACATTTTAATCTTCTGCAGCATTCTGCTTATCTTTTCAGTTTGGCTATCCTTGAAATTTTCATCCTTAGCTCTCTAATGTATCTCCGTGACGATATGTTTGACAATGTGTTTCCCGGTCTTGGCGCGCTCACTCCAATAATCCGTGGTTTACATATTGGAAAGAGTTCCTGCTTTAGCCCTTCGCTGTAAATTCGAACTATATTGTTCGATTCTTCCGAAGCTCTTCCTACGCCTCATTCTTGTTCTTCTTCTAGTAGAGCTATATCTCCAAGAACCACAACCATGAACCGAGCACGAGCATTTCCAGAAGAGTTCGAATGCATTGGAAGACCTTCTTGTAGTATATCTGCGCCCCTTGATATGTGAATGACACCCATTGGTCTCAATGATGCGGCTGGCTGGATTGGGTGAACGAGAACGGCTGCATGGCCTCTGCTCTTAAATTGAGACACGTCGCATGCTCCAAACATGCTATACTCAGTTCCTGCGCCTCAAGACGAGGCATCGAAACACAATTCTGTCCCCACCCTTGAGTTTGTCTCAACTGTATGTTGACAATCCAGCAGCTTCAGCTTTGATCACGTTTCGATGCCTCGAGAGTAAGTGCTCATAGTCGACCGAAAAGTTTGCATGGCAGGACTACTCCGTACTCGGTATACTGCCACACCTGAAAAGACGCGAAAAACATGATTTTAGGAAAACCGAAACACTATTCCGTCAGGACCTACTATCTACAATGCATTTGGACAAGTATATCACATATTTGATATTGAACCGAGCAGTGTACGTGATGGTTGAGGTCGGCTTAAAGCGAACCATTTAAAGAGATAGCGTTCCGATTCCACACAATATGTAATGGCAGACTTACCTTATCTGGCCTCTTCCCCGCAATCCTTGGGTCAACTTCTGGACTTTGTCATCTGCTGCATGACAAACATGATATAGGATGATGGGAACCATAGCACTAGCCAGGCTGGGTTCTGCCGATTCTAGAGCAGTACCTTCTGGCTATGATGATTTTCTAAATTCTAGTCCCGCAAAGGCCGTTTTTGTCTACTGGAATTATTCTTTTTACCTGTCAGGAATCTTGAGAATCAGGGCCCCAGAACTTCATTCCGCCCCACTATATCACGTGTGGTTCTGTGGTCATGGAGTGGCAATGGCATACATATTTTCTAGAGCGAGGTTGATAAGTGATCCGTATGATGGAACAGCTAAGTTTCATGTCATAATACTGATCATGGCTGCGAGTGAGATTATGAGATATAGTCAGTGTGTCCTTGCTCTGTAGGGCAGTATAAGATGTAGTTTCAGTAGCAGAAGTCTAGGCGTAAATATTTGGAACTCTTTCTTACTCGAAGGATCTCCGGTATATGACCTAGGTACTTTGTTCTCTCTAGATGTGTGACAGCCAATTAAGGAAATTACTCTGTATGTCTTATAAAGGGAGAATGGACCCTTATCACTTTTATAGTCTCTAGGGAAGTTCTCAAGGTGATAATCGTTCGTTGGCACTATTTATGTAACTAGGACGGCAAAATTATGAACCCGTCTTGCCTCATAATCGAGATTTTTTTTCCCTGATTTCGCCCTCGTCATCCGAAATTCCTCTGGAGATCGCTCTACCCCAAATATCGATTGTTTGTTTGGTTTATTTCCCTACGTTTTGCCCTTGCGAAGCCTCTTTCAATCCTCTTTTACTTATGCGCCCGATCGTTATCACTTATCATCATACCGATAACCCCCTTCCATCGAGTCTAACTAGTAGGTACCGCAGTGGGTGCCTTAGTCCTTACTAGCCTCGGAGAAGCGCCAAAAAGCCTTGCCAGAGGAGGCACGACCAACCACCTCCCAGTGATGGTCCAGCTCCCTCGATCATTCTCCGCCGCCCAACTGTTCCAACATCTTTCTTGTCAGCTGCAGCATTTCAATCCTTGCTAACACCACCGTTTCTCTCCCACTCGTTGCCCCCCTCTTTCTCACGGGAACTCTCTTATGACAACCATGTTCTGAATTATCCTCTCGCTCTTTCATCCAAGGTTTCAGGGCATCAACACTGTCTCTGCGAGCCTATCGTGCTATCAGACACCGTGCCCTCTCCCCACAACTGGTCATTAATTTCCCTGAAGGCTGGTTGTCTTGCTCTGCCACCGTTCAAGACTCGCTTCGTGTCGTCACCGCATTAGGTGAATAGATCAACAGTTGTTATCGATCTGACCCTCTATCAGCGAGTCAAGACGCGTCTCCCGCCTCAGTCCCACTCTCCGTTTACCTTCCAGCGAACGTTGTCAGCAGCAAGAAATTCAACATGGACCAACTAGATGTCAACAATGACCTGGATCATCGAGCGGCCAATAGTACTATTGGCCAATTTTCCTTCGCTCCTGCTACTCGAACGACTGTCGTGACTACCACAACCACTACCACTACCACATTTCCTCCCCTCGTCATCAAATCTCCTCGAGCGACGAGGGATCTCGATCCTAAGCTATATCCCCTGGCCTCTTCTCCCACTCCTACGTCTCTGAGGAACATCAAATTCGAACTCGGCGGGAAAACCGTCGTTTTCAACGAGCCGGAAGATGCAAGAGTGGCTGTCAAAGAGGTACGGCACTCCCAAATTAGATCCATCGGAGCGTGACTTCACTCTGTTTCCGTTTACTTACATGCGTACTACATTACGTGTCCTGAACATTCTGTCGGCTGATTTGACTTCAACAGGTGAACGAGACAAACAACGCGTTGAAAGCCTCGAATGGTTTTGTGCAATCCGTCACTTCATACACTACTTCAGATAATGCCCAAAGCTCCCGTCGTCTAGCATCCGCTCGATTATCCAGCCAGCCGTCCAACCCGTCCAGCGCGAAACGTCGGCCAGCATCAGTCGTAGATTCCCACCAATCTTTCACAAGGCTACGTCCAGGTAGACTTCCATCGGAGCCCTCATTTCGCCAGATCCGTCCTCATCTCTCTTCAGCCACATACACGGCTGGCTTGGCAACTCCGGAGACCGAATCCAGCGGTTACAACTTGAGTGACTACGCGATGCCTCGAAGAAGAGTGCATAGTGCGGCCATACCCCGCAGAGAGACCTTACTGCGCTCGCCTCTGTCTTCAGAAGTTGAAAGCCAGGAAGTATTGCAGGATCCTGGTGCAGAATCGGTATTAGGAAAAGGAGAACTCCGCGCACTCCACGCTAAGGCAGCTATTTGGGAGAGAGATCGACTTCTTAGTCGACATAGAGACAACGCGTCGTCGAGGCCGGCACCCCAACTTGCTAGTCCGGCGGTAAATAGTGATGGAGCTGCGGGCGTGAACACTGCAAGCCAAGGCACTGACTACGACGGGTCGGAAGAGTCGTTTCAGCAGGCACCAACGGAACCTGCATCCCAGATTTCAGCTATTGAAAATCTTGTTGCCCACGACATGTGCTTACCCAGCCCCAGTTTGTCGCCTGTGGCTGCCCTGAATGCGATGAATGTGGATTCTTCATTTGAGTCGGCGGAAGACCAAGAGATGGATACGGACTCAAGCCTCGATAATAATGCCTCCCGACTTTCAAACATACGGCACTTGGACGATTCGAAGAACCATGATTTGTCTCCTTCCAGGTCTGGAAACCTGCCGGGCGCTACGGAAAATCGTCATACTTCGTCTTTGATGGACATACCCAGTGTACTGGACTTTTTTGACTCGGTTCCCGAAGAACTGAAAACTTACTTGATGTATCAGTTTTTGAGGAGGTGCCCCAAGCCAACACTGCATTTTGTGGCCGACGTCGTGAATCCAGCTTTGAAGTGCGATTTTCTCGCGCTTCTTCCTCTGGAGCTTAGCCTCAACATTGTCAAGTATTTCGACGTTCAAACCATGTGTCGTGCAGCACAAGTGTCCAAGAAATGGAGGCATATCATCAATTCGGATGAGAAGACTTGGAAAGATCTATTTGACAGGGATGGATACGTTCTCACAGATGGTGAGTTGGAACGTGCAATCAAAGAAGGTTGGGGGTGGCAGTTTCCGCATGGGGATGACGACTGGGAAAAAGATCTGAGTTCGTCTGCAGTAATAAAACCTGAACCAGATTGCGCTCCGGGGTCCGCCTTCTCTTCCTTGCCAGGAGAGTCCGGTGAACGGGCTCTGTCTGTAAGTCGTCGACCGAAAAGGAAGGCCACTCGCATCTCAGGTCGGAAATACGCGAAGAGAAAGATTTCCTCTAGTAATACCGATTCCTCGGACTCCTCAGGTTGGAGAAACGGAGTAACTGCAGCTGAGGGACCATATGCAGCTGCGAATGCTGCAGCTGCAGCTGTCCCATACCCGGAAATTGGCCTACCGTCCCTCAGGGGTCTTCATTTGTTCAAGTCCCTCTACCAGCGCCATCATTCGATTCATAAAGGCTGGATGAAACCCAATGTGAAACCGAAGCACATTGCCTTTCGCGCTCATGATCGCCA